CCAGCCCGTCCCGCCTGTTACTCAGCCTGCTCACCGAGCATTTCACGCTCAGCACAGAAGGGAGCGGCAGGAGGCTCCCGGCACCGAAGCCTTTCCCGAACCCCTCGCAGCCCCCCCGCTACCGCTGGGTTTTGCCACCCGGGGCTCCCCGCCGCCGAGCCCGGCCCGTGAGGTGCGGGTGGAGCCGCGGCACCCACCAGTAGTGCGTGAGGCGGCAGCGCCCACAGCGGAGCCGCGCGGCCGCCCCGCAGAGCTCGCAGCGCCGCGGCCGCTCCAGCGTTGCCAGGGCGACGGAGCGGGGCTTCCGGCGGGGGGGGGGCGGGGCTTCGCTTGAAGGGGGCGGGGCTTTAGGAGGAGGGGGGCGGGGCTTTAGGATGAGGGGCGGGGCTTCTGTGGCGGGGGCGGGGCCTGCGGCGATGGCGGCGGCGGCTGCGGGCGGCGCGGAGGAGGCGGCGGCGGCGGCGGCGGAGGAGCGCGTGCGGGCCTGGGCGGAGGCGCAGGCGGCTCGCGGGCGGCGCGTGGCGCTGGTGACGTCGGGCGGGACGCAGGTGCCGCTGGAGGCGCGCGCCGTGCGCTTCCTGGAGAACTTCAGCAGCGGGCGGCGCGGCGCCGCCTCGGCCGAGCGGCTGGTGGGCGCCGGCTACGGCGTCTGCTTCCTGCACCGAGCCCGCTCCGCCTTCCCCTGGGCCCGCGCCCTGCCGCCGCCCGGGCCCGCCCTGCTGGACGCGCTCCGCCTCACCCCCGGGCCGCCTCCCGGCGTGGCCGCCGAGCCGTCCGCCCTGCCCGGCCTCCTGCCCGCCCTCCGCGAGTACCGGCGAGCCGCCGAGAGCGGGGCGCTGCTGGCCATCGAGTTCACCGGGCTGGCCGAGTACCTGGCGCTTCTGCGAGCCGCTGCCCGCGCCCTGGCGCCCTTCGGTACCGGGGGGGGTGGTGGGGGTGTGAGGGGGCTCCGAGCAGCGCTGGGAGGCGGCGGGGGGAAGGGTGGGGAGGGGGGCCCGCGGGCACCGGCCTGGGTTTGGTGTGAGGGGGGCCCCGGTCGGTCCCTGGGGGTCACAGTCGGTGCGAGAGGGCCTGGCAGCTCGGTGCGGGTGAGTGACGGTGAGTGCTGGCGGTTGGTGTCTCTCACAGGCTCTAGCGTCATGTTTTACCTGGCAGCGGCGGTGTCCGACTTCTACATCCCTGCCTCGGAGATGCCCGAGCACAAGATCCAGTCCTCGGAGGGGCCCCTGCAGGTGAGGCACCCCTGGGCCTGGCCGCCCCCATCTGCAGCCTCGTAGTGCCCTCCCAGCACCCTGGTGGTGCCCTGGTGGTGCTGGTATCCTGACAGGGTGCGGATGGCAGGGGGATGACTGAATAACACCTGGGAGAGGTCACAGAGCAAAAGCTCACTGGCCAAAAATGTGCATTTTCCCTGGGAATGCGAAGGTGCATTTCCATGGAGCAGGAGCCTCTGAAGATAGTGGAGTTGCATTGTTTTGTTCCATCCTTTGCACCAGGGATTTCTTTTTTTTTTATTTGTTTGTCTTAGGGTGAATTGTTGCCTAGACCAAGTTCCTCTTGTTTCCCCGGCTGCCTCTTTGAGCTTTGCTGCAAAAGAAGCAGTGGGGCTGTGTGGTGGGCAAATAAGAGGGCACGGCAGGATCAGTCCTGTCCTAGAATGATCTGCATTTATGTTTAGTACCCTTCCTGTGGTTAAGGGGTGTAGTGCATGTCTCTGGTGCCCAGGCCCCTTTTACTTATGGGAACAGGTGGATCTGGAGTTCTGTATATAACAAATACCAAATTTGTTCTGCTGGTTTAGTTTAATTAGTTTTTAATGAGTTGCTGGTCTTATTTTTTTTTTAATCCTTAATGTAGGAAAAACTAAGATCCTACCTGAATTCAGTGACAAGCCCAGAGGCTGAGAAGTTGAATAAAAAGGCTATGTGCCCCCCTTTCCCCCCACATATTTTGGCATATATATGCCTCATGTGTCTTGAAAGAGTTCATAGAAAGAAGAGTTGAGCCTTGATAAGGTGGATTTTGGAGAGCCAAAGACACAGTGTCTTGCAGTTTTAAGTCTGTACTAATCTTCCTCTGCTTAAGTTTAAGTTCTTGAGCACTCAAATAAGAGAAGTACATGTATGTTGATGCAGTTACAGCGTCATTGCTTAACAACACCCTGATTGTTGTGAATAGCAGACAGGTATTTGAATCTAGTTTTTCCGTTTATGTTAGTGAAGTTTTACCTTGTTTGGTGAGATCTGACAAAATATGGTCTTGAAAAATCTCCCAGTGAGAAGTCATGTGAAGGCAGAATTTCCTTAGCCTTTGTGTTGCTGTCCTTATCTCTCATTGAAACACATTGTTATGTTTTTACTGAAACTTTTTTTCTGTTGTGTTTTCCTAACGTAGATCACAATGAAGATGGTGCCAAAAATGCTCTCTCCTCTTGTCAAAGAATGGGCTCCGAAGGCTTTCGTTATTTCCTTTAAACTGGAGACAGATCCCTTGATTTTAATTGATAAATCACTGAAGGCTCTGGAGAAATATCGTCACCAGGTGGTGGTAGCAAATATCCTGGAGTCACGGAGAACCTCTGTTATTATTGTAACCAAAGATTCACAGACTCCATTGTCTCTTTCTGATGAAGAAATAGGGCAAGGCATGGAAATAGAAGAAAAGATAGTGAGCTATCTTCAGGGCCAACATACCTTGTTTATAGAGAAGAAAATCTGAGGTTTGGCTCTGAATGAATTAAACAAAGTTGTACTAGAGAGGGAGTGGAACTGGAGCAGTTCTCTATTCCAGGTAAATAGAATCACGCTATGGAAAAGGCTGCCGTCCAAAACTGTCTACTTTTCTACAGCTTGGTGATGGTTATTGTTGATTGCTATGAAAAAGTAAAATACACAGAAGTGAAAACATTCCAAAGGATGATAAATTAAATTGTTTTAGTTTGTAGAAAAGGAACAGGCATACTGCTATATTTCTGCCCCATGGGCTTAGGAGAACTGGGAGGTGGAGAAATGGTATCCATATGTCTATAAATGATTTTTCTGAATCTGCCTCTTTAAAGTTTCTTTTTGAAATGCTGGATGGAAAGAATGGAGCTCTGCAGGAAATAAGATGTTCTGTTACACACTGGAGTGGAGCTGTAGTGCTGGCAATGGACTGGTATTGAAAGCGGATGGTGAAACCAGTGTGGCAAAAAGGAAGGAGACCATCGTGGTAACAGTGGGCAATGGTGGAGAGCATCTGTTACTCTGAGATAGATCCTGTGGACCCACACTTCAAGAACTCTGCCTACAAACACTTTTCAGAGCAGAAATGGTAGCAGTTGCTGCAGTTGTGGTTATTTTCTTTGAGCTGAGTCCTCTTGAGTATCTGTTGGGAATTGGCACCTGTTGTAGGAAGTGCTGTTCAAGCTGAGCTGAGAGGAACTGGAGAGTGGCAAAAGAGCAGCCAAATAGGTACTGTAATGGTGTCCTTAGAGCAGCTTTGCTCAGTGATGTTCTTTCCAGCGTGAGTGTTCCCAGATTGCTGGGGGGCATAAAGGTGAAGGGACGTGTGGCACAGAGGATAAGTGGCAGCGTCAGGTTTGGGAACAGGTGGTTAGTGATCAGCCTCAGGACGAATGTACTTGTTAGCTGTTGGGATGGAGTTAAAGAGGGAGCCAGTTAGAACTGTGGGATTCCAGATTTTCCCTAAATCCTGCTTCCATATGATTGCTTACTGTAAGCATGAGGAATGTATGCTTAGAAGCTGGTTAAATATGCCATTAATTACAGAGTTCAAAAAGAGAAACAATAAATTTAATTGCATATCTACTGTTGTCCAATGCGTGCCTTTTTGCATACTTTCCTCAAAATGAATTTACTGTAATTCTGTAAACAAAGAAAATAATACACTGTAGTGCAATTCTCACACAGTCCTCTCCAAAGGTGAGGATCATCTCATCCTTAAGGTCCCTTCCAATCCGAGCCATTCTATGATCTTAAAACCACTGAGCACACAAGAAGGCAACAGGAAGAAGTGCTGTTACAACAGCACCAATCACCTGAAAATAGGTTTGCTCAATGAGGAAAAGAAACCCAGCAGAACAAGAGGCTGAAAAGAGCATGAGAACGGGCTCAGCAGAGCGGGAGGGGTGCCTGAAGGACTCGCAGTTTGCAGGCAGGTTATACACGTATTTAGTGGTGGAAGAACTAGCCCAGGTTCCTCAGGAGAGCTGAGAGAGCTAGCAGCTTAGGAGAAGGAACCAATACTTTATGTATGGCCGGGACTGATGCCTGCAGAGGTCTGTAGTGGTCATTAAAAGTGGTTCTGAAGGGAGAATCTGCCAGCACAAGGGATGCGCACGTGGCTGGTGCTGAATATTCCTGTTAACCCTGGAGACCTGGCCGACCTGCACTATCAGGGAGTAAAAGGCTGCCTCCTGTCTGTTGGGTGACAGCAGAGTGTGTTTTAAGAAACTGAAATGGAGACTGTGCTCAGATGTGGGAGTACCTGTCAGAGTGCAAGGAGGTGAAGTGCTTAGGAAAAGATGGAATGTGCTGCACGAGTATTGTATGTGCTTGTGCGCTCGGAAAGCTGCCTGTTTTAATCTCATGACCAATATGAAGGTATGGTCCTGCTAGCTTAGAGGTTTCTGTTGCCTTATTTTGAGTCTTGCACTTACAAACAGAGGTGGGCAAACAGAGGTGGGCTGGCAAAGGTGAGAATTACATAAAGTCAGGTCCGAGTAAATGAAGCACACCCTTGAAGCACCGTTAGAACAAGTGGTGGAAGAAGTGCACCGGGTGTCACCTCAGTGTTCTGCCCGTTGTGAGGGGGTTATGGGGGAGGGAAGCCCCAGGCCCCGCCTCTTGGAGCCCGCAGGAGGCCGTGGCGGGGCTGGGCCGTTCTGCCGGGACCCCTCGGGGACCTGCTCGGGGGGCGGGCCTCTCGCTCGCCGGCCTGAGTGACGGCTGCCCCGGCCAATCGGCGTCGCGCTCCCCCCCCCCGTTGCCACGGCTCCCGGGGGGGCGGGGCGGGGCCGCGCCCGCGCCTCACGGAGGCGGCCGCGGCCGCTCCGGGGGTGCTGGGGGGTGCCCGCGGGCTGCGGTTCCCCCGCGGGCGGAGCAGCCGGGCCCGGCTCGGAGAGCTCGAGCGGCGGCGGGCCGGGGAGCCGAGAGAAGTAAGCGGCGTTACCGCTGCGCCTCTCGCCTCCCGTGCCCGCGGCGTGTAACGGGGCGCGGGGGCGGCTGGCGGGCGCGTTCCTCTCGGGCCTGTTGTCCAGTGCACGGCTGCCCCGCTCCTGTCAGCGGGCCTCTGGTCCCCACGCCCAAAAATCTGCCCAACAGCGGGGCCAGTGCACGTCCCCTGCGCCCCCCAGTAAATCCGGTTAAAGGCCGGCTCGGGCTCCTGGTGCTGTGCCAGGTCTGCTTTGCTGCCCAGTGCTGGGCCTTTCTGTGTCTCTTCTGATAAGACCTTTTTTGTTTTTTTGTTTTTAAAAAAAAGGGGGAGGGGGGAGAGAAATGGGGTCTTTCTAGTTGAAAGGCCGCCTCCCTAACAAAATGTCCCCGGATTCTAAAATGGCACAACGTGTAGTGTTGTGCAAATGGTTGAGTTTATCTTGTAAATCTTGGGGGTGAAGGGAGCTTGAGAGTTACTCGTGCCAGTAACTTGCTGACGAGTAAGTTTCTGGGCTGGTCGTAAACGTGCTGAAGCACAGGGATGTTTTCATGTTTTCTAGGTGGAAAGCTACGTGGGCCATGTCCGTAACCTGACAGAGGAATGGGACAATGTCCTCATGGAGTATGAAAAAGAAAACGAGCACCTCAGAGATGAGCTGATGCAGCTGCAGCAGGGTAATCCTTTCCCTCTGAAGCACAGTCCGAGGGGATGCATTGCCAGGTAGTGCTCTACAAGTTTTCCAGCAGAGCTGGCTGAAAGCTTCTTTGCAGGAACAACAACATTTCTCAATGAGTTCTGTGAGACCGGCGTTCATGGCTTATTTTTTGGGAGGTTGGCAGAAGTGTTGATGAAACTGAAGCATTAGAATTGATTTGTAATCGACTTAGCGATTCTTGTCTGCTTTTACTGGCTTTATTCAGTAAGTTGGACAGTTTCTCACCTCATTGTCACACAAAGTATCTTTCAGAGCATGTTTGAAGAACAGAATGGATTGTACTGTTCATCTTTCTACTCTAAGTTGTTCGGTAGCTGAGTGTTGAGCTGTGCTCCTACTGAAGTCGATGAAGTAACTTTGCCATTCATTGGCTTTGGTTTAGACAAGGCCCATAGTTTTTAAAAACAACTTTGAAGGACAGGTATGTTTGCAACAGTGATTCAGAACTTGTAGTTTGTGCTTATTTTCATGTAGTTGTTCTGTTTAGAACAAATTATTTCACTTCAAATGATCTGCTTCTCTCTCAAACCTGGGGTTGTTTTGTTCTTGATTTTCTTCAGTCTTATGAGTCTTCTCTTGTGCTTTGAGTGCTGCTAGCAGCACGCTGTTACCGTTAGCTCTTCCTTCTGTGGTATGTATTATCCTGGGCCAGTGGTGAGACTGGGGGTGAGAAACATAGCTTGAACAGGGTCTTTGTTATGCATGCTTTATTTGGGGCAGTGAATATAGGAGTTAGGGGAAATTTATTGCAGGTCTGAGTGTTTGGCTCTGGTCAGCATGCAGGTTTCAGGGAGCATGTCTGGTGAAGTGACGCTTAAAAGGTAGGTGAGCTTAAGCACTGTCTGAAAATCTGGTCCTCTGGCACCTCTGGGCTCCAAGAGCTGTACTGTACTGTTGGGTGCTGGTGCGCAAGGCTTTGAAATGACCCAGTGACCTTTCGCTAGGGGTAGAGAATTTTATTACTGATTCTTCCCTCATCTTTCCCACGAGGTGGCAGGCGTGTGATGAAAACGTCTACAAAGCTGTATTTACATTTGTTTCCTCGTGGTGGCTCTGCTCTTTGCAACTTTGTCCATTTTTAAAGGATTCTCATGGCTGTTGAGCAATGATTAACACTGAAATGGAAGCTGACATCTGTGACCACGATATTGTTGGGTTCCTAGTTGTGACCAAGTTATTACCAGCCTGCAATTCCTGAAGAGTTCCTGTGGTTCCATGGTGCTTTGGTGCTGTATGGTGGTTTCACGCAGCTTTCTGGAGAAGTTTATTTTGGGATGTTGCTGCCAGACTTTGGTTTTTAAGACCTGTTATTGCCTTACTGATGGCGGTAGCCACAGTTCTGCAACACATACTGGTGGCTTAGTGATCTGGCCAGTGGTATGGATACGTCAATAAAGCCCTGTCTTCCACTAGGGTGTTCTCCACAGTGAGGGATGCCAGCCTTGGTGTGTTTTGGGATGCTTATGGATAGCTTCCTTGCGGAACTGGCCTTTTGGCTTGGGCAAGGCAGTTGCTGGCCATGGAAGGGTGCAACAGGTGACAAGCAGGCACTATTATTGGCTGTGCAAGGCAGCAGCTTGGATTGTGGCTGAACTACGTGTCTGCATGTGCCAGCATGTCCCTAGAGATCCAGGGAGAGGTGCTGGAGGGAGGACTGGAGTCCCTTTCTTCCAGGAATGAAGTTCATCATCTTCCTATCTCACCTCCAGCTCCTTCGAGGGTGATGTGAGACTGCTGGGGGGGCAGCTTGAGGGCTGTAAGCATGCTTTGTGGTCTGGTGCCAGGCAGCAGCCTCACGTTGGACAGATCTGAGATACCTTTGAGTCTGTGTCCTGGGTACTTGCATGTTTGTGTCTGTGTGTCAGCTTTTCCCTCTGAAGGTACTGACTAACACAGAAGTCGATGCTGAAGTTGTCTGTTGTCAGTGATTGCTCCGGAGTGCTCGGAGGTCCCTGGCTCTGGGCATGATGTGACTCAGCTGCTAGGAGTTCATGTGGGTCATTTCTTGCTCTGTGAATATTTGTTATTTCTGCCATTTTTCTCTTTCCCTTCTGTTTCCTCCCCGCCTATCCTTCCTCCTTTACAAAAACAAAACAAAACAAATCAAACAAAAAAAAAAAAACACTGGCCATCTCTGGCACAGAGCTGCTGAGCATGTTGAGGAATGTGCTTGTGCCTTAGCAGCTGTGCTTGCTCAGTCCTTTACCTGCTCGGGTTCTCTGATCCACCTCTGCTGTGTGGCTGCACAGTTCAGTGCTGCATCACCATGTTTGTTCCATGGGCCTCTGCTTTCTCCTGCAGTTTGTGCAAACCAGCCCAGAGGTTCCTCCCGTGTCCTGCGGGGTGCAGAGCAGGCTGAGGGTCGGTTGCCCTGAGGGTCTTATTACACCTCTTTAGGAGGGACAACGTGATACTGCAGATCAGGCTTTAACAAAACAGGGCTGGAGAAGGAGTCTTGTGAAAAGGAAGACCCCAGCCTACTGGGATTGTTAAACAAAAAATGTGAGTAAGGCTACTCCAGAGGGTCACGGCAGGGAGCTTTTGGGAGGCTTGAAATGAGGTCAGATGGGAAAGGGTAGTTGAGGACAGTGGCCGGTTCAAGCCTGTGGTGCAGCCAGAGGATCAGCATGAGTGGTGAGGTGCAAGTGGACAGGATCTGTCCTGATCTGGAGTGCAGAGCAGGCCAGTGGCAGCTGGGAGAACAGGCTTCGGAGACCAGGAAGGAAAAGTGCCCTCAAAAGAGGTGCAAAGACTTGGGTAAATGCGGGACATCACTTGGGTGGACTGTGGGGGCTGAGCACGCTCCCACTTCCAAAAAAACACCCAAACAGATCAGAAGCTGTGCTTGGTCCTAGGATTGCTGTGAACAATTTGATCTGCCAAAAGCTGTTTCTGATGATAAAAGCAAGTTTATGCTTATATATTTATTTCTTGCCTGGAACGGGCCCGCAGAGTTCCTGCCATGCCTGGTTTTATGCTGAGCTATTGATCTGAGCTTTACCTCATTTGGTACCTCTGCCCAGAGTGACATTTTTCCTTTCCTCGAGGCACTTCATAATCCATTTCTGATGGTTCTCATCTGATATGCTTCAGTGTTTTTGGAGGGCAGATCGAAAACTCATGCACAGAATTACCAAAGCTTTTATGAAAAACAGATGTAACAGAAGTAAAACAGGATGCTGTTGGGGCCTTGCCATGATTTAAGGAGTGAAACAAAAAGAATCGTCGTAGCCTGAGCTCGTTTGTTGTAACAGCTGTACTGCTTAAATGTCCCCTGCATGAATGAGAGGACACGGCTTCTGTGGTGGGTGTGATATCTGTGAATTGCACATTTCTGTGCATCAGGGAGAGAAACTTCCTCTCTTGCTTTACAAAGGTAAGACACCTTTGCAGAAACAAAGCTCACTTCAGAGAAGCAGAGGTGCAGTAGGTATGTGCTTGTGGGAGCACATCAGGGCACCGGTCTGACATTGATCATTCAGGGTGTTTGCTCTCTTTGCTAGGTCACATGCGATATAATACAGAAGGGGTTTGTGAGATGCTTGTAAGGAACCAGTGGGCTTTTACAGGAAGGTAATTTGTGCTATGTGCTGCAGTCTCCTCTCATCCTCACAGATCTTTTTTTTTTCCTCTTCAGCCTGTGGAAGATTTCTAGATCATGTTGCCACATCTATATAGCACGGTATTGTTTTGCAGGCTGCATGCAAGGGAAGTACCTTCAAGCAAAACTGTCCATATAGGAGTAGTTTTGTGAGTTCTTGTGTGAGCTCAACTTGTGTGAGTTGTGTGAGTCCCTTTCACCTGCTGTCCTGTTTCTGTCCATAAGCAAAGCAGCTACCAGGGGAAGATGCAAGAACCCCAATTTGGATCGTCAGTGGGAGGAATCTCTGAGGCAGCTTGGAGGCCATGTGGGTTTCTCAGTTTAGTGTGAGCTGTGGGTTCTTCATAAGGCATATGGAACAAGGGGTCAGTTATTTTTAAACTGTAAACTGCAATATTTTGTTCTCCTTCATACAGGAAAGCTGCAAGAGAGCCATGCTTGACCTCTTCATTGAACAAGCTGTAATTCATAACCACAGGGAGGGTGAATGGGAAACCGCAGGGTGTTTTCCATCCATAGGGCTGGACAGAGCCAGCTGCAAAGTGCAGAGTGGAAACAAGCAATTGATTTGAGCCTTAGGGTGTGATTGTGCCGGGTCCCCTGTTAAATCCAGTGTGTGAAAGTGCAGAGCAGGCTTGTCCAAAGCTGTGTATGTATTCTGTGTAAGAGTATGAGAAATACTTGTTCTGCGTAACTTCTGAGGCTTAGCTCCCTAAGCAGTGAAGGCGTGTGACTGTGCCTCCCTTGTCAACACAAACCCCACAACTCCCTGATTCCCATCCTACAGCTCTTGGAAGCATTTATAAACTATTTTGGGCTAGACATTGGGAATAGTTTTCCTTTTTAATGTTAATTAAATTACTGGAGAAAAGACTGATGAGAAATGAGTGGTGTTTACATAGGGAGGTTTTCAAAGCCCTTTACAAGCTAATAGATCCAGTGCAGGAATTGCTGCCATGGCCACGAAGGAGATGAAGGCTCTCCAGGTGGATGAATTGCCAACCAAAGTGAGGGGTTCTTGCTTAATTTTTTTTTTAAACAAATGATCTTGAGCATGCTGCAAAATGGAGTTCAAACCAAATAGGAAACCTCTTGTATTGTTTTTTCTGCACGTTTCTTCTGAAAAATGTACCTGGAGAAGTGTGAACACAACTGTCCTGTGCTTGTAACCTGGGCAGTAGAGCCAGCTGTGGCCCCAAACACAGCAGTGCCTAGCTATAAACAAATACTGTTATGATCTGTTTACCTCAAAAGCCATTGAATCTTGAAGTTTTTCCTAGTACAGTCTTCCTAGCTATAACTTTGGGATAAATAGTAATTGGTAATTTAATTCTGAAAGGAATTTTTGCTCCTTTAAT